GCCGATAGAGCATTTCTTGCCGCCGGCGTTTTGTAAACTGAACACTCCTGGATTTGACCGTTGTCAGATTAATGACGAATATTATTCCTAAATGCAGAAGAAGTTGCGACACAACACTTTGGACGGTATAAAAAAAACCTTTACACAGAAACAGTGGGTGGTGTCAAAGTACGGCACCGAGACGTGGGAAGAATTATTGTTAAGGTGTATTATGGACTGCAAAACTAAAAGGCTGTGGGTTCGAATCCGTTATTTAATAACTGGTGTTAATTACTACAAGCACGAGTATTTTAAATTAAGTTTGAGTGGTTAATAGAAATATTACTAGTATTAGCGACATTGCAATTTTTTTAAGTAACTGATACAGTTTGATAAAAATTCATTCATTAACTTTTTAAATCACCATCTATCACATTACAGCGGAACTTGGAAATACAGCGGACTTTCTGAAAACGGATAGAAAACCGGTACTTAAACTCCTTAAGAAGTTCATTAATTCCGTCATCAATGGTGGAGCAGAAGTGCGGTGGTCTTGTTCTTCAAGAAAAGCTATAACATGTTTTCAAAAGTTAATACGAATCGTCTCGCACGCAGACTCGGCGACTTCCAGCCTCCCGAACAAGCCGGTTTCCGAAAAGGCTTTAGCACCATAGACCACATACATACTCTTCGCCAAATTGTACAGAAGACCGAGGAGTACAATTTGCTACTATGTCTGGCGTATGTGGACTATGAGAAAGCCTTTGATTCTATTGAAATCTGGGCAGTGCTGCAATCCCAGCAGCGGTGCCAAGTTGACTGTCGGTATATCGAAGTGTTGAAGTGCTTGTACAGTAGGGCTACGATGGCTACTCGAGTACAGAACCAGAGTACGAAACCTATCCAACTGCAGAGAGGTGTAAGACAGAGTGACGTTATATCCCCGAAACTCTTTATCGCTGCCTTGGAAGACGTTTTCAAGCTACTAGACTGGAAAGGATACGGTATTAACATCAATAGCGAGTTCATTACTCAATTTTGATTTGCTGACGATTATGGCAGAAGTGCTGCAGGATAAAGGCAAAGCAATATGCTCAATGACCTCAATAGTGTCTCCCAACGGATAGGTCTTAAGATGAACATGGACAAAACAAAGATCATGTATAACGTCCATTTCACACCTATGCCGGTAGTTCTTGGTAGCACTAAGCTCGAATTTTTTGACGAGTATGTTCACCTGGGACCAAATAGCACGACTAGGTAAGTCCAACTTCGACCGAGCGGTAAATCGACGAATTCTATTCGAATGGGCAGCACTCGGGAAATTACGACACATCTTCTCATCAGATATACCTCAAAATTTAAAAACGAAATTGTACAACTAGTGCGGGTTGCCAGTAATGACTTATAGAACTGAGATGTGGTCCTTCATTTTCAGGATCATTTTCGTCGGAGTACAGGTGAGCCAGCGCGGCCTTAACTCCCTTCAACTCTTCAACATGTACGTCGGCGGTCTGATCATTGAAATCAGTGATGCCAGAGTCGGCTGCTCAATCGACGGTCATTTTGTTAATAATATAAGCTATGCCGACGAAATAGTTTTGCTGAGCCCATCGATCAGGGCCCTTAATACGCTGGTGGGCTGTGAAAGGCACGCGGCGGCTCATGGTCTCAGATATAATTCAAAAAAGAGCGAACTACTCGTTTTTAAGGGTGGAAATAAAAAACCTAAGTCTGTTCCTCATGTAAGACTTGGAGGAGTTACACTGAGTAGAGTCACCAAATTCAGATATCTGGGACACTGGGTCGCCGAGGATCTCTCTGACGATTATGATGTTGAACGAGAACGTAGAGCGTTGGCAGTGAGGTGTAATATGCTTGCCCGCAGGTTTGCTAGGTGTACGAATGAAGTTAAGATAACATTATTCAAAGCTTACTGTCAGACTACACCTGCAGTCTGTGGGCAAAGTGTATCCGCTGAACTCTTAATGCGCTGCGTATTCAATACAACAATGGACTCAGGATGTTATTGGGGCTGCCACGCTATTGCAGCACACCACGCATGTTTGCCGAGGCACGCGTGGACACCTTTGCAACAATATTGCGCAAAAGAATAGCCTCCCTGATGCATTGCGTGCGAGACAGCACTAACAGTCTCCTAGCTTCCATATATGGAGGGCAAGATTGCCCTTTGATGAGGCACTGGAATACAGTGCATATGGGTTCCAGGCCCAATATGTTTAACAATAAATGATAATTTTGGTAATGTATAATAATTTGTATTCTGTAAATTTACTAACCCCTTGTTTTAAGTATACTAACAAAGTAAAACAAATAACACTATTACCTGAATAATGAATAAATAATAATAATATTAATTGCTGGCTGTATGCGGAAGCTCAAGCTCGCTCAGCGGGTTATGGAGAGGGATATGCTCAGAATTTCTCTGCGTGATAAACTTAGAAATGAGGATATCCGCAAGAGAACCAGAGTGACCGACATAGCCCAACGGTTTAGTAAGCTAAAGTGGCAATATACCGGCCATATAGCTCGAAGAACCGACAACCGATGGGGAAGAAATGTTCTCAAATGGTAGCCTCGTACCGCTAGGTGAAATGTAGGGCATCCCCCGAATAGATGGAGTCAAGTCCTGGTAAGACATGCAGGAAGTTTATGGATGCAGGTGGCTCAGGACCGTGCTTTCTGGCATTCCTTGGGGGAGGCTATTGTTCAGCAATGGATTTGTGAAGGGCTGTAATGATGATAATGATGACGATGGTCTATCGAAGGTCATGAGATCGTTTCGCTTTTCCTATATTAGCCATTTATGACACCCAAGGAACGAAATGGATTCACGAATTTCTAAACTCTGAATGAATCGTTATGTTGCCCGACGCCGTGTTGATCTGTGTATGAATTTCAATGCAACGAATGTTATATTTACTTCATGCTAAATCCATTTACTGTCGAAGATAAGATTTCAAATTATAAACACTGAGGACAATGCTACAGCACAAGCACGAAGTCTCTTAGAGAGCATTGAAAAGAGCGAAGTTTGGGGTTTCAAATGTAATATGGAAAGCTTGATAACGATGACTGCTGTTAACTAAAGCCGATAACCATGCTAAGTAACGCAACGTGGGAGAGACCTTCCAGCAGTAGACAGCCACAGACGGATGATGATGATGGAGTGATTCTTTAAAGTGGTGTAAATCTTACTAAAACAGCAGCCATATTATTAGTAATGTTACGAGCTTGGGATTCGAGACAATTAAAAACTGCCGATTGAATTACCAAAATTGACACTTTAATTACACAACACTAATTACAATCTAAAATCACACTAATAATAAAACACAGTTCGCCGTTATTTCGCTTCGAAGTATTCTCTTGTATCGCCAATTCAATACTGCCTCGGTCGTGGTCTATACCGGCCTTATATAGGGCCTCAGATAGTTTCCAGAATCTTCTACTGTAGCGACATCTAGAATGTTCGAGTACATATCGGTCCCGAAATTTCTGGAAGGATCTTGACTCTCCTAGTTCTGCTACTCGACACTAGAGGGCGCTAGTGTACCTAGTGTTGCCATGTACAAGACATTAATAGTGGCACGCAATACTTTCATTTACTCGACACTAGGGGGCGCTAGTGTAACTAGTGTTGCCATGTACAAGACATTAATAGTGGCGCGCAACACTGCCCCCTCCTAAGACATGCTCGTCCCGAGCATTATTGGCCCCATAATAACGCGCCAGTCGATCTACATGGACAATCTTAGGAGTACCTCTGGCACCTTTCTGTATCCGGTAGGTTACGTCATTGATCCTTGTCACAATCCGGTACGGTCCGTCCCATTTAGCTTGAAGCTTAGGAGATTTCCCTTTGCTGCGAACTGGATTGTGTAACCACACTAGAGAACCTTCATCAAACCCCTTGTTGTTTATTTTGCGGTCATACCGTGTTTTCATCTTCTCAGACGTTTGCTGGCCCGTCTGTCTGACGTGCTCATAAATGTCATTCATTTTGTTCCGCAAGTCATTTGCATAATCGGTTATACTGCGTGGGGCATCTGGTGGTATTCTGGTGATCAGGTCTGCAGGCAGCCGTAATTCTCTCCCAAAGTTTGCGAAAGCTGGCGTCAATGATGTACTTTCGTGAACAGCGCTTCGATATGACAACAAAAACGGTTGTATGTGCCTGTCCCAGTCTCGTTGCCGTTTTTCCACAACTTTTGCCAGGTACCTTTCCAATGTCTGATTAAATCGTTCTACCATTCCATCAGATTGTGGGTGGTAAGAAGTTGTTCGTGTTTTATGAGTACCCATAACTCTGCAAGTTTCCTGGAATATTTGAGACTCGAAATTCCTTCCTTGATCGCTGTGAATCTCTAAGGGTACTCCAAAACGACAGAAGACTTCATGAACTAGTTTATCTGCAACTGTTGAAGCTTCTTGATTTGGAATGGCGAAGACTTCTGGCCACTTAGTGAAGTAATCCATCACAACCATGAAATACTTGTTACCACTTTCACTTTCCGGAAACGGCCCCGCAACGTCAATGGCTATCCTCTCCCATGGTGCACCAACATTGTACAATTTCAATGCGCCTCTACTACGAATTTGTCCTTTTACAGCCGCACAACTTGTACATTTGCGGCACCAGTCCTCGACATAGTCACGACAGTGGACCCAGTAAAACCGTTCTCGGATTTTTTTTTTTTTTATAGGATAAGGGTGACAAACGAGCACACAGTCCACCTGATGGTAAGTGGTCGCTGTGGCCCATAGACATCTACATCTATCTTCGATTAAGAGTCAAAATGCAGATGCGTTGTCACCCGTGAGGACTAAGATGGAATGCCTCGTTTCCAGTAAAAAGGGTCTCCGGTTCTCTACACTCACCATACGAAACACAGCAGCGTTAAGCTGCTATTTTACGCTGGTATTCTGTGAGAGCGTGGTCCTTCCCCGGTCGAGCCGACCCATTCGTGCTACAACCATGATATAGATGCAGCATGGCTCTACCACGTATAAAATCTCTTCAGGATCTTCAGGAGAGCTCGTTTAACTCCCAGGTGGCCTCCTGAAGAACTTCTATGGTACAGTTGTAGAACATCCGGTACTTTAGCCTTAGGGACAACCATTTGCAAATGACATCTGTCTCCCCGACCATTTTCCCATTTACGGCACAGGACTCCATCCTGAATCAGCAAGCTGTCCCATTGGGCCCAATAGCTTTTCGTGGTCGAACTTATTGCTGAGACGTCGCTCCACTTGGGCTTAGGAGCACTGGCCTTCATCCATTCCAGAATCGGCTTAATGTCCGAATCTTCCTGCTGTGCATGTTGTAGGCTGTCCTTCCACTCATTGCTGAGCTGGTCTGTCCTGAGCATTCTCACAGATACCACTTCCTTACCCTCTTGCCTAGTACAATGCTTGCAATCTTCAGGGCAAGGTCTTCTTGACAATGCATCTGCATTGCCATGAGATTTCCCGCTGCGATGTTCGATTACAAAGTCGTATTCCTGCAGTAGTTCAATCCATCTCGCAACTTGTCCTTCCGGATTTTTGAACTGCAATAGCCATTTGAGTGCAGCATGGTCAGTTCGTAAGTGGAATTTCCGCCCTAGAAGATATTTGCTAAAATGCTGCAAGGACTTTACCACAGCAAGCAATTCCCGTCTTGTGACACAATAGTTCCTTTCCGGCTTTGACAATGACTTGCTGAAGTACGCTATCACAATCTCTTGATCACCATTCCGTTGAGACAACACACCGCCAAGTCCTATATCACTTGCGTCTGTGTCAACTATGAATTCCTTGCCTGCATCAGGGTACCCCAAAATAGGTGTTTTGCACAGACGGTTCTTGAGCTCCTGGAATGCAATATCGCAACTTTCATCCCAGCAGAAATGTCGCTTCTCCTCGGATAGCTTGTGCAGAGGTTTGGCTATATCTGCAAAGTTCTTCACAAATCGCCGATAATAAGAGCACAAACCCAAAAATGCTCTAACCTGTGTCTTGTCTTTTGGAACCGGCCACTCCTTGACAGCGGCAATATTTCTGGATCCGTGCGGATACCTTCTTCCGACACTACATACCCCAAAAAACTAACTTGCCGTTTGAATAGTGAGCACTTCTTTGGACTCAACTTGAGGTTGGCACTCTGGATCTTCATGAACACGCGTTCCAGGTTTTGAAGGTGTTCCTCAAACGTACGGCCTACGATGATGATGTCATCCAAATAGACCAGACAGGCATCTCCAATTAGCCCGGTAAGTACAAGCTCCATCAATCTTTCAAACGTTGCTGGAGCATTGCACAATCCAAACGGCATGACTTCAAATTACCACAGACCCTTTCCTGTGGAGAATGCAGTTTTCTCCTTGTCCTTAGGGTCAATTTCAACCTGCCAGTAGCCACTTTTCAGGTCCAGCGTACTAAACCACTTTACGCCTGTGAGCATGTCCAGCGTGTCATCAATTCTAGGCAAGGGATAGCTGTCCTTCTTCGTAACGTCGTTCAGGCGGCGGTAGTCAACACAAAACCGCATGCTGCCGTCCTTCTTCTTTACCAGCACCACAGGTGAACACCATGGACTAGATGAAGGTTCAATAACACCATCCTTCACCATTCCCTCAATCATGGTTTCCACTTCCTTTTCACGTGCTACAGGCAATCTTCTTGGCCGCTGACGAATAGGCAATTCTTGTCCTGTGTTTATTTTGTGTTGAACTAAGCCAGTCTTTCCTATGTCAGCTTCGTTTGACGAGAAAACATTGGCGTACTTGAGTAACAACTTCTTCGCCTTGACCATTTCATTCGGGGAAAGAACGCTGCGACAGTCTTCTAAAAGTGTGGTCACTCTCGTTTGTCCATCCTTGCTGGGGGTCCCGGTTGATAGATATTCGCACCGACGCAACCAATCCACTTCCTCACTAGTACCAACCAATGTGCCTTTTTCTATAATCTGTGCCTGATCACAAAGGTTCAACACACGTACTCCTGAGATGTCGGCGGTACTGACCAAGGTTCGAGCCACTTTCCATGGAAGGTCATTGTCTACCCTTTCCACGAGTACACAACGAAGAGTTTGCCCAGGATTCCGTGGAAGTCTAACCGGCACAATTGTTTCCGATCTCGGCGCAAGAACAATCTTCTTAAGGCTGTACACATTCCCTGGTAACGCCCCTTCCACGAAAAGTTCCTCTTGTCCACATTTCAAAACACCTTGCTTAACGTCGATCTCACAACAATTCTTCCTCATAAAGTCTAGGCCCAGGATGCAGTCGTCCATTATATCAGCCACGATGACATTATGCAGGTAGATCATGTTGCCTAGCTTCAACTCCATCTCCTTCTCTCCACGGACGGGTATGCGCTGACCAGTGGCTGTCACCAAATTAATGCGTTCTCGGTTGTATGCGGAGTCACCAAGGAACCGACTTATAAGTTGGGAACTGACAACCGTGCGAGAGGCTCCAGTGTCTATGGTTAGTTTACACGGCTTTCCGTTGACCTCGCCCTTGATGATCAGGCTGTTTCCATCTCGGGTTTGTGAGATCGAAATCCTTGGGGCTCTTTTAACATCAGCCAGCACCCGCCAGTTTCCCTGCTGCTGCTGGGCGGTGCTGTCAGCCACACTACCCTCTCGATATCGATCACCTTCCCTTTCTACAGTTCGTTTAGGGCAGCTGGATCGAAGATGGCCCCTTTCTCCACAGCCGTAGCACCTAGGGCTGTAGCTTTTATTGCGGTCCTGAACTGTAGCTGCTGCAACCTCCCTGACGCGGTGGGAACGATGATCCTGCCGCACGGCTTCCACCTCCAGTGCATGGGTCAAGGCGTCCTTAAGCGTCTCGTGGTGCCCGAGCCTCACAGCAGCTCTGACTTCAAGGTCGCGGATGCCGTCGATAAATGTCTGAACCAGGTTCCCTACAATAAGCGCAGGTACAGACTGGTACGCTTTTCGAACCAGCTTCTCCACCTCAAGGGCCCACTGCTGCAGGTTTTCGTTACTGCGTTGCACGCGATCTTTGAGCTGCGCACGAAATACGTGTTCCAGGTGAGCGTCGCCATATCTCGCCTCCAATGCCTCAAGGAGCTGCTCGTAAGTCACTTCCTTACAGAGAGCTTCCAGAACAGTTAATGCCTGGTCGCGCAGGCCTAGGGTGAGAGCAGTCATGGCCTGACTTTTATTCCAGCCGTTCGCTTTCATGACAGCCTCGAACTGGATTTTATAGGCCGACCAGGAAGAAGTCCCGTCGAACGGTGGCACTTTGAATCCACGTAGCGAAGGTGTTGTAGCTACCACGGGAGCTGTAACTCCATCCCCAATTTTGAGGTCGTTCAGCGTTTTCTTCACGTCAGCCATCACATTGTCAACCCGATTGTACACTTGGTCGATTCGGGTTTCAGCTTCCGACAGGCGGTTGTCATATTGAGCAACCTTATCCTTCACCTCACTTATTTCTTTCCCGAAGGTAGCGTGAAGGTCCTTCATGAGAAGTATCTGCTCTTCCTTATCGCGTTTGAGCTGCTCTTCCAACCGACGGGCCTGTTCCTCCTGTTGGCGGGCTTGTTCCTCCTGTCCGCGCTGCAGCTGCTCTTCCAACCGACAAGCCTGTTCCTCCTGTCGGCGGGCCTGTTCCTCCTGTCGGCGAGCTTGTTCCTGCAGCATCATCATCAGAGTACCTAAGTCAGGTGCTGCAGATGCAGGAGCTGCTGACGGGCCGGCCTCCGTGGTCGGCAACTGGCCTGCCGACGTCTGTGACGTTGCACCACCAAATCGTTTCTGGTCCGTCTCCTGTTGGCGTTGACTTCGGGTACGGATACCCTCGGTGTCGTCTTTAGGTAAAATCGGCATATTTGATCCCACTTCTGACACCAATTGTTACGAGCTTGGGATTCGAGACAATTAAAAACTGCCGATTGAATTACCAAAATTGACACTTTAATTACACAACACTAATTACAATCTAAAATCACACTAATAATAAAACACAGTTCGCCGTTATTTCGCTTCGAAGTATTCTCTTGTATCGCCAATTCAATACTGCCTCGGTCGTGGTCTATACCGGCCTTATATAGGGCCTCAGATAGTTTCCAGAATCTTCTACTGTAGCGACATCTAGAATGTTCGAGTACATATCGGTCCCGAAATTTCTGGAAGGATCTTGACTCTCCTAGTTCTGCTACTCGACACTAGAGGGCGCTAGTGTACCTAGTGTTGCCATGTACAAGACATTAATAGTGGCACGCAATACTTTCATTTACTCGACACTAGGGGGCGCTAGTGTAACTAGTGTTGCCATGTACAAGACATTAATAGTGGCGCGCAACAGTAAATATGAAAAATATGCAATTAAAAGAGAACGTAGAATGTTCACATTCGTAAAACAACAGCCATTAATATTAGTTCAAAAAATTCATTTATAGATTAATGATAATCTGGCAAAAGAATAGATTTGATGGTAATTACATAACAATTTTGATATAAATAAATTATTAATTATACGTTTATTTCGGTACTCTCCTTAACAACATAATACTGAGACTTCCCAATGAGTAATCAGAGGATACTCGTGTTGGGAATGACCCGCTACTTCCCTTAAGGATTACAAAAAAAGTAAGATTAAAAAAGTTTAACCTCTAGAAAATTTGTAATTAGTGTGTGTATATTAAGGAGTGTGTGAATGGAGTGTAGGAGTGTTGTTGTATGTATGATGTGGGGGTGTGTGTGTATGTGCTGGTGGATGAAATAATTATAAATAAGAATATATGAATATATAATATACGTAACTACAGTAATTTAATAATTTCTACTTATTTACTACATGGTTTTGTTAATTTTTAAATATATAGACTGAAACATAGCAGTGTAAGCACTGATATTAGGCGGTAGAAATAGGTAAGAGTGCAGTACCTTTCTAAACGGACTGTTAGGCAGAAAATAGTCTTACCACCTGGGACAGTCGTACCACTTTAATTTTAATGCAAAACATTTAACTGTGAATTGTGACCCTTCCTTTTTATTTCTATTATCAAATATAACGAAACATATACAAATTCATTTAAGCTTAATATTTGCTTTTATTTTCATTAACATACCAATAACACAAAGCTGCGTAGTTATAAAGAACAACTTTTAGCCATTAATGGCACCTGGCGACATCTTACGGGAGTCAATTTTGTGTTTAACTTACGCAATAATATGATAATTAAGATCCTTAAGCTATTAGGAACATCAACTTTAAGGGCGATTAATTTTTTCACAATGAAGATTTTATGATAACGTGAATATTTTCTACAATTAAATAAAGAATGTTATTTAAGGTAAAACATCGTATTATATTACTTTTAATAAAGTAATATAATACGATGACATCATTATCATCAATACAGCGCATCAAATTCCAATGTTGAGCTTGGCAGACGGGTTGGCCATCACAGTTATTTATTGTTTTGTACTGTTATAAGAATAATTCGTTTTCTTTCAAAGATAAATCGGGAATACCACGATCTCTTGTTTTAGTTTCTCTCAGTCACCACCTACAATGAGATGATATGGGCTCTCTTACGCCATCAATACACGGTATTTTATATTCACACTCTAAAAAATCTTACGTCTTTGGTTTTAAATCCAAAAATATAAAAACAAAAAAAAATTTGTTAGTAAATTATTTTGACGAAGTCTGAAAACAAGAAAGAAGAAATGAATGTATAATAAAACAGAGGAACGAAAAGACGGGAAAGTTTAGGTTACACTGTGTAATCTAGACACGAATATAAATTGTTAAAATGATACATACCTACACAATTATAAGTAGATATAGCCTTTAAAACCTATAAATAATGTTAAATATATTATTTTTAAAAACTAATGTTCCCTCAATAGTTTATATTTTTTACTTTGAACTAGATTTTTTGCGCGGCTTCGTCTACCACTAGCAGATTCACTCGTATAATAGTCTTTAGGTAAGTAGTAAAAAATCGATTTATGGATGTTAATAACCCCTGGGAATGAGTGATCACTACCAAGCTATTTCCAATTTGTTTTGTGTTGTTAATTTTGTAACGTATAATATGATTGTAGACTGTTATTTTTCTTCCAAAAAAAGTCCGCCGGGTTTCTTACTAGTTCTTCCCAGGACATATATGTTTTCCCGAACTAGTGGTTAATTAAACATATGAGTGATTTTCAAGAAGTATTATTTATATTCTACATTGAATAAAAGTTTGTTTCTGTTTCTGTTTAACATTTTTTTACTACAACACCATTTTATATAAAAAAAAAAACTATGAGCATTGAAGCATTTTTATTTATAGGATATGGGTGACAATCGAGCACACAGACCACCTGATGGTAACATGAATAGATCTCACTTTTAACATTTATAGGTATTCAAGTTTTTATTTAAACATTTTCCATATCGCACATAGTTTTGGAGATAATAGAAACATACTAAGTTCAAAGTGGTTTTTCGATAATTGAACTATTTGCCCAAAGACTATTGTTTTTGACCTGCGGTTTATTTTTATTTAACTAGCTGTTACCCGTACGACAACGAGGGTAAAAAGTGTTCCATGGTGTTTCCTACGGTCGCCACATAAGAATTGAAAATGAAAAGAGAGTGACTCGGAGAC